ATTCATTCCTAAAACATTCTCGCGAATGGATTTAACGAAATATCTTCGCATATTCTAAATGAGATTTATCGTCGATGCAGAATTGAAGCAGAAGAAAAAAAAAGAACAGAAAAATGAGAACTTTTGTTAATACAATGTGCAGACAGGCTTCGCATGTCAGCTTCTAAAAAAATTGTATTTGTATTGTCAGCTTAAGACTGACTAAAACGCATTTTTGAGGTTAGGATTGCAAAGATTCAGTCTTAATAGATTTGAAAAGGCTTTGTTCTTGAAAGGAACCGTCGATTCTAGTAGATTTCAAAATCTGAGACATTCTGGATATTCTTCTTTAACACTAGTTCTTGAGATGTCTACTTAGCATTCTTTAGAGCAGTGATGGCCAACCTTTTTTGTACCATGGCACAGCTTTTGGTAAACGACTATAGAAAACGCACATGATTAGGATTTTCTGAACTTTTACACGGCACTATATTGTGACGCGGAACATGAGTTGGCCATAACTACTCTAGATCTACACTAGGGCCTTTTGTCAAGTTTCAACGTCTTTCATGGGTCTAGTCAGAGGTTTACACACCATTAATGGAAAGTTTGTGACAAGTTCTCATCAAAACTTATCCTCATCATGTTGTTCTCTCTTTCATCATAGTCTATTTACAAACTGACAGCCAGACAGTCAGACAACCAGACAAAGTTCATCAAACCAAGCTTCTTCCCATTCGCAAAAAGTGCATTCCCAAATAAAATCTAAATAAATTCTTATTTGATTAAATTTCCTGAGGGAATATCAAATTAATTTTGTTGAAGTTTATGAATTTCGAGCGAATCCAATTTTTTCTTTCTTTGTTTTCTGAGCTTTCTTAAATGACTGTGTGAGATATTTTGATGTGCATTGAAAATTCGACAATCATGAGGGACGTTTAAACGATGAAATATTTTTCATATCTTTTTTTTCATGAATAATTTATTATTCTGTTAAGTACATTCACGAGACTTTAGAGTGGAACTAACAGCACTTAATGGAAATTAAATGTAATTATATTAAATGATTGAGTAATTTATGATTAAAATTTGACATGAATTAGTTGACGATTTAGTTAAATTTTAATAACTAGATGCAATTTACGTTGTTGGCGTTTAATTATTGAATTAAAAGTACAAGATTCGGAAATGAGGAAGGCTTCGAGACATTTATGCAAAATAAACATATTAAGGTTGATTGGAAAATTAATGACATATTAAATTATTGCCAATTATTGCCCAATGTTCTGTGATATATGACAATACGGAATCAAACTGCATTAGAGCCCTGCAAAATCCCTGCCACAAACTATGTCGTCATCAGCCAAATAACTTTATAATTATCTCAATGACTCAAAATTTTTTAATTAAGCAAAACATGCACGTAAATGCAAATTAAGTACATTGTTAATATAAAATATTAAAAAGAACAATTTATTCTCAACTTATGGACATTTAGCTAAGCATGTATCCAATTAATTAGGAAAACAATTTGGCGTGTAAATTTGAATTGGAAGTAGACAGTGAAGGGAAGGAAAGAATTATTAAATAAACATTGCAATTTGCTCAATATTGCACACTGTGTACGGTATGAATGAATAAGCGAAATGTAAGGAGCGTCATCTAATGCAAATCTGTTCATACATTTCACGCCAATTCATATTTTTGTTTCGTCCATAGGAACTGTAGGCGTTCAAGATAATTGAGTCTCAAATAACATTTCATGCAAAAAAAATTTCTAATTTGTTTAAAGCATGCGACCCAAATCCACATTGTCAGCTCATAATATGGTTTGCAAATTACAAAGTCTTATAAAAAATTCATAATTCTTAATTTGCGAGTAATATGTCGGGGCGTCATGTCAAGAGGAAATGAAAACAATAATTGTAATAGTAATGAGCAAAGGAAAGAAGAAATAAGCGGAAAGGTAATTGGCATGTTCTATTGAACAGCGCATTTTCATGTGCAATTTCAAGGTTTGAGGGAAGTTCTGCAATTGAATTGAACTTTATTTGAAAGCAGTTAATTGGAATAGTCGAAATAGTTGTTTTGTGCAATTTGCGTGGAGTTAAGGGAGGAAGTTGAGTGTTTAACAAGTTGTGGATATAAGGTTTATGGATTTTGAAGGAAATATTAGCTGCAGAATTAGAAATTTACAATTTTGAAATTAATAATTTTATGAATTATTTATGGATTGACTTTATTTGCAGCAAACTACAATAATCTTGAACCAGAGGTTGATCTTTAGCTTAAGATTCAATATTTATAACATAATTGACTTAGAATTCAGTAATTGAGACTAATATTTGTGTTTTCAAAACAACAACAAAATAAAAGTAAAATATTTCGAGCACTAATTTCGAAACTTTCGATATTAAGTCCGAAAACTCGAAATTAAATGGTTTTAAATTACAAAAAGCCGTTACAAACTCATTTAATTGTTTTAATACCAAATGAGATCATAAAGAAGTCATGGTCCACTCCCAGGATTCTCTATTTGAGACTATCAAGTCTTAATAATACAATGCTAAGACAAACTGACTTCTATGTATCGCAAATCCTATAAAATCCATCTAAAGAAGCTTACTAAATCAAAAGACAAGATATTTTGACAATTGACATGACTCTTATTCATAAACCGTTGTATAATATTCATCAATATGCGCTTTATTTTGAATCACCCACAAAAAACTTTAAGCGTTTCTGTTATGATATGTTAATTAATTTTTCTATTGCCTGTGGCTTAAATGAATAAATAAATATATTTTGCAGCATTTTTCTCTCATTTTTCATCTTCCTCATTTCATTGAGTTCATAAATGTTGAATATTCACATTCATATGTCGGATGATGCCATAATTCACTTCTAAGAAACCAAAAGTGATTGAAAAATGTATGTTACTAAGACTTTCTGACAGTCGACTGCAATGTATTGAATTGAAGAGATTTTTATTTTTTTGCTTTTAATCTCTGCTAAAATTTATTTGCAGCATTTCCTCCTCTTAAATCAATTTCGCGGATGATTGACTGACTGAAAATAGTTTTTCTTCTGCCTTGATGTAGGCTTAAGTCATTCTTTTGCATAAAAGAACACAACATGCCACAATAGACAGAGCTGCTTCATAGCTAAAGTCATGCATAAAGAAAGTATTCAATTTCATAGTTCGTAATTCAATGTGATTTAATGTGACACATTTGTAGCTTTTCTTCATGCCAGAGAAAAAAGATCTTCAATTGAGAAGAAAAGTATGGAATTAAATTGCAATCTTTGACATCTAAATCCTTTTTAAGCATAGGCACATTTTGTCGCTTAAGTAGACCTCTCAGTTCGTAATTTAAGACACTCTTTCTTTTATGCAAAACAAATTAATCTCTTTCTATTCGGAATTTAACTTATTCATGTTGCGATTTAACGATGTAGACCAGATCAGTGAGAGATGGAATTATGGGAAATGCAATGGAGTGTGTTTATCTTGAATTGTTTTGATTGGAATGCTTTGTTCGTTGAATATAAGATTGGATTATTTTTAAATAAGATATGATAAAGTAACCGTTATTTAAGGAATTTGAAATTTCTCGCACTTTTTGTTAAATTTGTTTTCAAGCATTAAAAAATTTACAAAATTTTCGACTATTCCAAGTGATTCAAGTGATGAATTAAATTTTTAAAGCTTTGCTCACACTGCTAAAGTACTTTAGATTCTACAGAATTGCTTTAACTTGACAAGTTTTCTCAAAAATTAAATTCAAAATCCTGAAGTGACGAAGAAAATCAGCTGTTTAAGGTTTCAAAAAATGAAACCAGACTAGGAACTTTCAAATCTGCGATTCAAAAACATTTCAAACATGTAATTTACTCATTTTATCACACCTAATTGACAACTTACAGAAGCTGCCTAGCAACTTTTTGTAAAATTTCCAAAGACACAATTTTTTATCTTATTTAAAGATAAATAAAATAAGTCAATGTAATTCAGTACCGCCAATTGACAACCAAGAAGAAGCACAAGAAAACACAGAATTCATCATTTGTGGGAGGACCGTAAAAACAAGCCTTAATTAAAATTAAATAACTCAATTTAAAGTTGATTTTTTTTTTGCTGTCATGTTAAACTGTCCTTCTAGAAAAATTGACTGAATTAACTTTTGAAATGCAGCTGCAAATTGCAGACTGGATTTGTCAAAAAAAATGAAATGAATAGGTTGATCAATCTTGTTATAATATCTAGATTATGTGAACAAGATATAAAATTAGCTGAGAACAAGAAGAAATAGGTGTCAGAGAAGTTGTTGGAATTTATATGGCACAAAAAAGTGCATTTTAATATCGTTGACTTGTGGATGTCATCAGGGTTTTTGGATTGATCTTGATTTTAAGAGTGGCAATATATATAATGAGAATATAGATTGAAACTCAGATCAATCAGCTCTATAATACAGTAGTAAAGCAGGTAAGGGTTTGGAAATGATCAAACTGATTTGTTTGTTGTATGGTTGGATGTCTGGTTGGAGAAGCATATCAAGATTTCTATTTACATTCTGGATCATTAAGTTTTGCATCTATTTCACAATTTTCAATAATTTTGTTATATCGCTGATTGAATCATATCTTTGTATAACATTAAAGACCACAGGTCATTTTATCAAAAATTGGTGAATCAAAAAAAGGTTAACAGCAATAAGTAACAAAAGGTAACAAAGATATCCAATTTAAAGCTTGCATCATGCAAAAATCCCAGCAATTACTATCCCAAATTTCATAATCTGCGCATATAATTCAAATGACGTCAATGCATCCTCAAGAAGCTAATTTAAAGTTTTTTGTTTGCTAATCTAATTTATAAAAATTTTTAATACATTCTGCATCCAAATATATTACATCCAAAAATTAAAATGACTCATGTACTAGAAAAACTTACGTTTTTTTTATTTTGCTGAATAATTGCTTAAGTGCTGCAAATTGCTCATTACGATGCCAAGAAGCTTTTGAGGAACTAATATCAAGTACAAATAAAAATATCATAGAAGCTCTTAAAATTCAAATTCTCGTTCACAAATAAAAAATGTTTCGAATAATTTTTAATTTTTTCCACAACACAAAGTCAGAGGAAATTGAAAAGTATCGACAACCACCTGATTTTCCATTCAAATTAATTAAAAAGTCATCATCGTCAATGTTCAATCTTTATGCGGCAACAAGTTCAAAGAATTCGGGATCATCACAAGATCCATTAATAACACCAAATGACTCCGAATCCAATATCGAGAAAATTGAGCGTTTTGAAAAAATTGTAATTTTCTCTCCATCGAATATGATTCGTATTAAATATCATGATGAAATCTCAATGAATGAATAAATTATGGAAATAGCTTAAATTTATGATGAATAATATGTAAATGAGATTATAAAATATGAATTAAATGAATGAATATGTAAAAATGCTAGGGACAATTTTTCATAACATGAATTAAATTAAATAAAGAATCGTGAATTAGCATAAAAAATATTAAAATAATAAAGCATGAATAATAAAAATAACACTTTAAAAGATAGAGAAAAAGAAAGACAAGACAAGAAGATTATTTCACGGATGATTAATTATCTTCGACAAGTCGGTAATGTTCAACAAGTTTCACCTTTTGATTTTTACACTCTGTTCCACGGCTGTTAATGTTCTTTTAAAATCACTTCAGATAAGGAGATATTTTTTGAGGCTTTTGAGTTTGGAGAAAGTAGGGATCTCTTAATTTCGGTTGGGGAATTTCGGTGAAAATTGGTGACTTGACAAGGCTTGTTTTAAGCACTAGAATATTTATGCAAAGTTTCAATCCATTTGGATAAACCCTCGAAGAAAAAAGTGAGAAAATTGATTTCGACTAGGGTCGCCCCTAGTCCAAAATTGAAAATGTATTTCCTACTTGGTTCTTTGCTCAAAAAAATTTTAGGATGTTTTATTTGTATTTGTCTTAAGCACTAGAATATTTATGCAAAGCTTCAATCCATTTGGGAAAACCCTCGAAGAAAAAAGTGACAAAATTGATTTTGACTAGGGTCGCCCCTAGTCCAAAATTGAAAATGTATTTCCTACTTGGTTCTTTGCTCAAAAAAATTTTAGGATGTTTTATTTGTATTTGTCTTAAGCACTAGAATATTTATGCAAAGCTTCAATCCATTTGGGAAAACCCTCGAAGAAAAAAAGTGACAAAATTGATTTCGACTAGGGTCGCCCCTAGTCCAAAATTGAAAATGTATTTCCTACTTGGTTCTTTGCTCAAAAAAATTTTAGGATGTTTTATTTGTATTTGTCTTAAGCACTAGAATATTTATGCAAAGCTTCAATCCATTTGGGAAAACCCTCGAAGAAAAAAGTGACAAAATTGATTTTGACTAGGGTCGCCCCTAGTCCAAAATTGAAAATGTATTTCCTACTTGGTTCTTTGCTCAAAAAAATTTTAGGATGTTTTATTTGTATTTGTCTTAAGCACTAGAATATTTATGCAAAGCTTCAATCCATTTGGGAAAACCCTCGAAGAAAAAAAGTGACAAAATTGATTTCGACTAGGGTCGCCCCTAGTCCAAAATTGAAAATGTATTTCCTACTTGGTTCTTTGCTCAAAAAAATTTTTTTCATCCAAAGTTTAATTTAAAAAAAAAATCACAGTGAACTTTTAATTTGAAAAATTCGTAAGAAAGGAAAGTTTTTTGCTTTTTCTGAAGCAACGACTGTTCCTACCTTGCCCAAAAACAATACAGCTCTTCTATAGAGCAGCACGGATCAAATGTAAAAAACTAGAAGTCTCTACGATGTCTCGTTATTGAGATTTCTTGCTGATTAACTTGCTTGTTTGCTTGCTTACAGAAAGTATATTTTGCGATTTTCTCAGCAATGCCGCAACCAATTTGAAATCTGTTTTTTGCAAAAGATGTGAAATTCAAGGCACAAACTTTTCATCACTAAACATTTTAAGCTTTCTTGCTCCATATCCTCACAAAATTCTAAAAACTGATTTTTCAATCTGAACAAAACCAATAGATTCACACGTGAAAACGGTGTGAATATAAAAAATAAACTTTAGCATTCAGATTTTAAAAATCCATAGCTGCGCGTTTTATGCGTTACAAGGCTAATGATAGTTTAACGAGAGCACTATGGGGCAAAATTGAAAAAAAGCGGCAATTAAGGAAATTTTTGAACAGTTTTGAACTACGCTTTCGGGGTTATTTTTTCTTGTAGAGGACATCAAAATTGACTTCTATGCCAAATTTCAGGTAATTTGATGCTGTTTTTACAATTCTGTGGCTGTTTGAAGTTGAAAATGAGGGAAAATTTTGATTTTTTCACGTCTGATTTAAACTGTCACATCTTTTTAATAGTTAAAGATATTAAGAAACGCTTTTCGGTTTCTAATAGTGTCATGTAAGCTTTGTTTTGATAATGTACAAAATTTGTAATTTTGTAGTTTTGGTACCAGTATGGGAAGAAATGTGTGAAAATTCTATGAAAAATATATTCAAGCATGCCGCAAAGATCTTAAATGGCCACTTTTCAGTCATATAAGCACATTGTATTTTAGTCTCTGTCTTCTAGTTTTCAAAAATGTATAAACATCAAAATTTGTTTGGTACTTTTTTGAGATAAATTGATTTAAATAAGTAGTAGAATAATTCAACAAAAAATAAAATATCTTATAAAAGTTACGAAACAACAACAAAATATGAGTTTTGTGTTATTTTTCGATGACAAACAATGTTTAAAAACAAATTGCGAAGAAATTTTTTCAAAAACTTCAAAATCTGCCGATATATAGGGTACTTTTCATATCTGACGACTTATATGGTTTTCGCATCACTCAAACTGCTTTTATTTTTGTGTACCTCAATATTTTTTAATTCTGTTTACAGTTTATTGTAGCTTAAGTCTAGACCTTTCTAAGGATATATAATACTTTGTAGTTTAGTATTATCTTGGTCATGAATTTAGGACTTGTTTGTGAACGACCCTAAACAACAAAAAATCTCAAAAACGTCATTTCTAGAAATATCACTTAGAAACAAAATTAGGTATTGTTTTTAGGTTTTTCATGATGACTTATGATATTTATGACTATTAAAACTTAAAAAAGTGTATTTCATAAATTTTTTTGCGATTTTTGTGTTTTTACCTATTCTGGTTGAGGTTCAGTATGTTTTCTTATTCACTAAAATGACTAGAACTTTTTTCAGAATTAATATTTTTGCAATCTGTTTTCAATTATTGCTAGATTAAATCAATACCTTTAAAATGATGCATAGTCCTTGCATGAAACTTTGTTATTATTACTTCTTGAGTGCATTGAATGAGACCGACGAAAACTGGTCTTTATTAAAACATTCAAAAATTTCATTTTAGCAAACAAAAGTACTTAAAACTTATTTATTTTGGCTCAACTATGTTAAAATATAAAATATAAATCATTAAAAATCTTCAAATTAGTCTAATACTGAAGTAATACTGATCAACTAGATACTACTAGGGTCGAACTTAAACAGGCTACCTGAGATCGCAAAAAGTTTATGAAAGACACTTTTTTAAGTTTTAATAGTCATAAATATCATATGTCATCATGAAAAACCTAAAAACAATACCTAATTTTGTTTCTAAGTGATATTTCTAGAAATGACGTTTTTGAGATTTTTTGTTGTTAAGGGTCGTTCACAAACAAGTCCTAAATTCATGACCAAGATAATACTAAACTACAAAGTATTATATATCCTTACAAAGGTCTAGACTTAAGCTACAATAAACTGTAAACAGAATTAAAAAATATTGAGGTACACAAAAATAAAAGCAGTTTGAGTGATGCAAAAACCATACAAGTCGTCGGATATGAAAAGTACCCTATATATCGGCAGATTTTGAAGTTTTTGAAAAAATTTCTTCGCAATTTGTTTTTAAACATTGTTTGTCATCGAAAAATAACACAAAACTCATTTTTTGTTGTTGTTTCGTAACTTTTATACGATATTTTATTTTTTGTTGAATTATTCTACTACTTATTTAAATCAATTTATCTCAAAAAAGTACCAAACAAATTTTGATGTTTATACATTTTTGAAAACTAGAAGACAGAGACTAAAACACAATGTGCTTATATGACTGAAAAGTGGCCATTTAAGATCTTTGCGGCATGCTTGAATATATTTTTCATAGAATTTTCACACATTTCTTCCCATACTGGTACCAAAACTACAAAATTACAAATTTTGTACATTATCAAAACAAAGCTTACATGACACTATTAGAAACCGAAAAGCGTTTCTTAATATCTTTAACTATTAAAAAGATGTGACAGTTTAAATCAGACGTGAAAAAATCAAAATTTTCCCTCATTTTCAACTTCAAACAGCCACAGAATTGTAAAAACAGCATCAAATTACCTGAAATTTGGCATAGAAGTCAATTTTGATGTCCTCTACAAGAAAAAATAACCCTGAAAGCGTAGTTCAAAACTGTTCAAAAATTTCCTTAATTGCCGCTTTTTTTCAATTTTGCCCCATAGTGGAGAGAGAGTTCTCCAGACCTCCCGCTCAAACCTAGACTTACAAACCTAGAGAAGAAGGACAAGTGAAAATTTTCCCATTCCGAGTAGGGGCCGTTCATTTATAACGTACAGGGGGGGGGGGGGGGGGTTCAGACAGAAAAGAACAAAAGAAATTCCTGGAAATCCATTGTTCGTTTTTGAAAAATGACCGTTAATTTCGGACTTCATAATTGAATGGCCCCGTATCGAACCCGCGATTGCTGTGTCAGTATTGCAATAATTAAGTACCGAAGTACTAAACCAATTCGCCACCTAGCCATTTCAGATCACGATTTTTAAGTAAGTTGCTACCATGTAGAACCAGAAACCAGCCTTCAGTCACTCTCTTGCTACTACACCACTAACCTAGGTTACAATATTGCAGACATAAGCCCTTCCTCTATAAATTTGGCACAATTACAACGCCTGATTACCAGAACAATATTTAATTTCTACAACAATGCATTAGATACTCGTGATCCACTCCTCAAAACTTGACGATGTCATGGTCCCCTAACGCAATTCAACATATTCACATTTTCATGAATAATTGATGTTTGCATGTTATTTAAGTACAACATAAGATGAAGTGGTTTCAAAAGCAAGCCAACAACATCCATTATGTGTGTGTTTTAAGCCATCAACACTAAACGGCAATAAATGAGAAATGTAAAGTAATTAAAATAATCTACCCTATAACATCAATCGTGTGGCAAAGCAATAAAGAGAAAAGATGAACAACAAAAGGCACGAATCGTATCGAATTTCAGAAGAAATAAAGCTCCAGCTCCACCTTACACCGATCTATTATAATAGGAAATAGAAAATTTCAGCGCCTTCTTTGCCTCAATATCGTCGTGCGGATCGAAAGTAGCAATTATTTTTCATTCATTGCTGACTTTCTGCGTTTTAACTCATCCAT